CTAGTAAGTTTGCACGTGCAATGCACGTGTAACATTAGAAAGAATTTTGAGCTGCATGTCTTACATCCAAACGTCTGCTGCACTTGTGAAGAACAAAACTTTAATAGTTTACTCATGTCGTTCTCCACTTCATTTGCATCCAAGTTTTATTTCCTCCATTTAATGATTAATAAAACATTTCATGAAAAAAGCTTTCTTTTTCCATGAAATTTTGTTGAAAAAAATGTATCAGAGCTGTTCACCTTCAATCATCCTGTAATTTTTCAAATTGGAATAGTATTAAGTTGTGAATTAATGTCATTGTATTTGATCCATGAATGCTTATTTAATAGCAAGTGATACATATACCTTATTTTTACACGTAATTCCAACCTCGACAGACTGATTGTATGATACCACAAAAGAAAATCCATTTCATCTGTTACACGCAAGACAGGTCTCTCAAGTATTTAATATTAGCAAAGCAAGCTGCTAGATTAAGTTCACATGAGCCATAACTTAAGGTTCTTCTGAAGAATCGAAATCTGTAAGTCGTAAAAAATCAACATGGCTTCGTCGGAGATAAAGCTCCACATTGTCCATGTAGTTAAAAACAATGGCCTAAAGGGATTGTACCTGAACACATTTCAACCAAGCAGTGAAATCAATCATTCATACAATTTAGAGGTGTTTGCAGGATGGGATTAACACAAGTCAACAAAGCAAAAAACATATCTCATATTGCATTGTGAAAACAAATATAATGTGCTAACTTCAACTTGTATAGAAGTTAATGTAAGTATGTGAGAGAGGTGACAGGACACACCATGAACTCATTCCTTTTACCAAGCAGTGCATACTTTTCGTAAATGAAAAATGCCGGAGATTAAAATGAACATAGCTAAGCTCGTAACCAGGTGGTTGTACATTGTTCCTCAATAGTTCGAGCTATACTTTCAATGATTGACGACGCAACACACGTGAAGATCAGACAAAAAAATCTGCAAGAGTTCTTCTAGAGTTACAACACGTGGCAGATCTGAATAAATACAAATATATATCAAACATACAGCCATGTACGGTAATATGCATAAAAACAGTAAAAATGAATTTGTAGAAGCTAGTCTTCACCATGCCCGTGCCAGGCTGCGTATCTACTTCATATATTTATTTATTTTTGAAAAGGAAGAAAGAACCCTGACCTCTGCATCAAAACGATGCATGCGGACATTTATTAAAAGTATAGCAAATCAAGGTTCATCGTATCTGGTTCACGCATAAATCCCTTTTTTGTTATGTTATCATAACAAACTTGCTTCCTCGGTTTGCAATCTATAGAGATACTAAGCTCCCATGATTTGAAGCGCTCTAGTGCATCGGGGTTTGTGGGGTCGTTGTGGGACCCGCATGTAAGGTTGTCTGTTGCTTAGTTTTATTTCCCCTCCTCTCTTTATTTTCTTACATGTTTTAATTATGACCG